TTAATTACAAAGTATAGGAGCATCACAAACTTGGAATGCAATTATTTCTTACAATTTTGAGAAGGTGCCAGTAATGGGTCCAGTCCATTTTTGGGGGTTTGCATGGAATGTGTCAGATTTGGCTTTTTGTTTCTTTTTTGTGTCATACCAATACAAGCAAAAGAAAAACATATGAGAATGCCTAAACATTTGTAATTGCAACAATTTTATGGGTAAAGTGGTGCATTATCTGACAGAAATGCCAATATTTTTTACCATGATTGTATATTTAAAGCATGTCTGTACGCATGTATCTACATATGTATGTTACTGTTAGGCCTTGTTCACACAGGCACACTTAAGCGTACACCCGTTTGAGGGCCATGTTTGCTTGCACAGGCATAGAATGCACAGGTGTTGCATGCATCCCTGTGCCCCATTCATGTCAATTGGGGTGCAGCAGCTGCATGGACAGAGCCACTGCTCCCAATTTGACATCCATGTAGGTGAGGGTCACCAAACACAGACAGTGTGGATTTGAAAACCCATACCCACACAGATGTCAGATTGGGAGCAGCGCCTGTGTCCGTGCAGCCGCTGCTCCCCAATTGACATGAATGGGACTGCCTGCACGGGGATACACGCAACATCTGTGCATCTCATGCCTTACTGTTAAGACGGTCCTCATCCACCAACTGAAAAGCATGAAGAAAGACTGAGCTAATTAGGACTACCCTAGCCATAAGAAAAGAAGCACTGAAGTTGGTCTCTCATTGTATAGAATATGGAGAGGAATGTGTCTCTACATAGATAAAGGAAGGAAGACATTTAGTGCACCTATGCTTGTTCAGTGCAGTGGGTCTCTCACCTGCCTCACCACACAATGTACATGGCTCTGGTGTCAGGAGAAACTTAAAACTAAAAGTGAAAATGCCTTTTAAGATATTCTCATTTTAATTCAAGCCCTAATATCAACTTTATGGCCTGTGTCAGGAGCTTTTGTTCACTTCAAGTGGGCTTGGAATCCTCATAAAAGTCTATGGGAATGCAAAGCCCACTTGAAGCACGTAAAATACAGGTCAGAAAGAATTCAACTGCAGGTCAAGTGCATCTGTCAATGCATTCTGAGTGATCTTAGAAAGGTCTCCAACTGATGTCAAATTGATTACATGAAGACAAGCCAAAGCCTGTCAACACAAAATGCCCTTAAAAATGGTGCTAAACAATATCCCTATTCTCCAAACATAATCCATACACATCCTCTACTCAATGGCCCTCTAGTTCATATCTCATATATTTATTTTTAAGTGTTTTTCTGCCTCCTTATAACATCCTCTCTGAGCTCCTGAACTTCTCCTTTCTGCCCTCACTTTCATATGCATAGAATGAGCAGATCATATGTGCTGCGGTCATGTGCACCATTATATCCACACTACAAATCCCATAGTCTATCTCATGTGAGAGCAAGAGCGGGTAGCTACGTTCCTAAATATAGTAGGACCATGGAGAATGAAAGTAGCCTTCCTAAAACAGGAAGGCAGATAACAGCAGCAAAAAAAAAACAAAAAGAAAAAACAAAAGGAGTTTGAAGATTTGGAGGTGGTTGGATCAAATGAAGGTACTTTTTTGAGCTAAGAATACATACTTGAGTAGAATTATTTTTCAACCGGAGTTTAGTTTCAATTTAAGGTGGTCAAAGAGAATGTAAGGACATGCAGACTTGATTTAACCATGCTTTTTCATCTGCCAGCAGTGCCATAAGTATGACCAGCTTAGCAGAATATTCATGTTTACTGATGGCCTTATCTCAGAGAAAAATGGGGATGGGCAATAGTGATAGAGACCAGCGTTCTAATTGGTCCAATCCATTGTTCCTCCAACAGCAGTCAGCCAGTGACATGAGGGAGGACCCATAAACATGAGGTCATTGTGAAGATGGTCCGGCTTACACAAAAAACACAAATACTGGGGTTGGCCAAGCATTCACGGACATCTCTGCCACTTCTCTAAGAAAACTGTAGGGATCATGTGAGCTTTTCTAGTGTGTCCAAACTATATTTCCACTAAAAGTCAAAGCTATCTGTGTCTACAGGATCTGTAAAAGGGAGAAATTAAGCTCAGCCAGGTCAGGCGGTCATTATATTAGAAGGATGGTCCTCCTAAGAAGGCCAGCATCCCCCTGAAAGGGAGCATTCACAGCAGGCGTTTCTGTTTGTGTACAGCTAATGGGCCGTTCAGTGTACAAATGCTAATTCTCTCAGGCATTGTGCAGGACACCAGCCTGGCATTACTGTTGTCCCCCTGGGGGTCCTGCTTGTTGTCGCTTCATTAAGCACTAAATGGTGACATTAATCCTGATGGCTCTGCTGAGATGTAATTGTCACAAATGATTTACTTCCCACCAGCTGACACCACCATTCACAGAAGTGACAGTAAAAGCCGGAATCACAACAGCAATTGCCATGTGTAGCAGGTCACAAAGACACAACATATCTCCACTTTTACTGTATTTTTACAGATTTATGCAACAATGTAGTGCAAATGGCAACAGTGACACTTTGCTCTTATTGAATATGTTAAAGCTCAGTGGAATGATAGTCATAATTCACAGCGATTGGGCCTGAGTTCAGTTCCAAGTATTTGAGCAGAAATTGGTAGACGTGCAGTTCGTTTCGTTCTGAATCAAGATTCGGACGCATTTTCCGTTATACGGAGATTCGGATGTATCCGAATTCCGAATTACAATGGTAATGAATTTAAACTAATCTGAAATAACAAAATGAAATTCAGCCAAAATTCAAATCGATTTGAATTCGAAAACCAATTCAAATTCAAAAACCAATTTGAATTCGAAAAACAATAATAGAATAAAATTTAACTGAAAATAAAGAAATAGAAAAGTAGAATAGAATAGAAAATAAAAGAATAGAACATAATACAGTAGAAAATAACAGAGTAAAACAGAACCAAATAGAATAGAAAGTAAAGGAATAGAAAATAATAGAATCCATTAGAATAGAATAGAAAAGATTAGAATAAAAAAATCAAAGAAAACATTTTGTAGACCCCCCCCCCCCTTCCCTCATGGGACTGCAGCAGTTTCTAGGTTCCCCACGGTGTTTGAGCTGGAAGATTCGTGATTGGTCACCTGTTCTCTTTTCTAAGAGGTCAGGAGGCCTCTGTTGCTGGGGGGAAAATCCTTATTGCCCTGGGAGAAGGGTTATAACAGTCCTCTGTCTCTGTCCTCTGTCAGACCAGTTGCCTCATTAGGAACGGGCTGTGGTGCTCCCTCCCACCCTCCCTGCCTGTTGTGGCCATTTATTATGCAGTAGTGCAGGGGCGGACTAACAACTCATGGGGCCCCCGGGCAATAGGGGATCATGGGGCCCCTGTGTTCTCACCCACACTCAAATCACACCCAAAAAAAGCCTATGAAAGCCTATGAAAGGTACCAGGGGCATCTCATGGGGCCCCTTACTGACCCTGGGCCCTCAGGCAGTGCCCAAGTTCCCAAATGGTCAGTCCACCCCTGCAGTAGTGTCACCTTCATGTTGAAAGGGGCACAGTGATTTTTGAAAACCTGAGTCATAGTGGCTAGGCTTTTTGAGTCCAGGATAAGAATTTCTGGATATTTATTCACTTCAATACCACGCACTTATACCCCCTTCGTGCCCAGGCCAATTTTCAGCTTTCAGCGCTATCGCACTTTGAATGACAATCGTGCAGTCATGCAACACTGTACCCATATGAAATTTGTATCACTTTTTTCACAGAAATAGAGCTTTCTTTTGTTGGTATTTAATCACCACTGAGTTTTTTATTTTTTGCTAAATAAAACAAAATACACCTGAAACTTTTGAAAAAAAAACAAAACACACTTTTGTTTGTTTCTTGTTATACAATTGTGCAAATAAATAACATTTCTTCATACATTTAGGTCAAAACGCTACATTTCTTTGGCAAAAATAATAATATTTGAATTTGTATTTTTTTTTCAAATGTTTCTATTATTTTTTTAAAATGTATTACTCTTTTTCTTTTTTTCCCCCCACCACCACCACTGTGCCGATCAACTTCCCTGCCCACATCCGATTCACCCAGCTGCCTGGGCCCCATACAGGAGGACTGGTAGTACCCCCTTATCCACAGCCCTGGTTGATGATATTCACAGTAAACATTGATACATAGATGTTGGATTGTCACAAGTTAGCTTGCAGCCCTCTTGTGTGTTTATTCTTACCTCCTTGCTGCTCTTGATTCCTTCACATGTGTGTTTGTCTGTGCTCACCTGTGGGCGTTGTCTGCTATTCCCTGGGTTTTATGTCCTTCCCTTTCATCACTACCTGGGCCTCCTCCTAGCTGGCTTGTCTATTTAAGACGTGCTCAGTCTGTCCCACTTTGCCTGAGCAACTTCATGTTGTTGGAGTTCCCATTTGTTTCCGCTGTGAATCCTGTGTTGTCTATCTGTATACCCCGGCTTCGTTCCTGACCTTGCTAGTTTTCCACCTGTCCTGACCTCGGCTTGCCCATTGGATTCCCTGTGTCTTCTCCCCTTTCACCCTGCTCCCGCTAGCGGTCTCCTCCACCTCAGCTGGGTGTACCTGGGGACCGCGACCTGGTCCCAGCCTGCTGCAAGTCCATCCCCACCATCAGGGGCCCTGGTGAACAAGCAGGCTGGGGCTTAGATTCTGCGCCCTGGGGAACCCCAAGCTGTGGATCTATAGAGCTCACTACCATAGGTATTGACATGGATATAAAACTATACAACTCTAACATGTCTTATAAGCTGGACATTTTATCTGAGCTTTCCAGCATTCACAATTTAAATATTAACTACATAAAAACAAAGAGACTTAGAAGAGTGACAATGGAAAAAGACCGAGTGGTCCACCGAGACAGTCCCTTTTTTGATTTTTTTTAACCTTTTTGTCTGAACATGTTTGTCCCAAGCATGTTTACATTCACTTGTTGTTGACTGACTCACTAACCTCTGGCAGACATCTGTTCAAAGCACCAAAGACTCTTTTAGTAAAATAATATTCTTTAAGGTTAGGTCCAGGGGCGAACTGACCATTCGAGCACTCGGGCACTGCCCGAGGGCCCAGGGTCAGTAGGGGGCCCCATGAAATGCCCCTGGTACCTATAGGCTTTTTTGGGTGTGCTTTGAGTGTGGGCAAGGACACAGGGGCCCCATGGTCCCCTATTGCCTGGGGGCCCCATGAGTTGTCAGTCCGCCCCTGGTTAGGTCTGAACCTTCCTCCTGATGGCTTGAGGTCAAGTCCTGGTGATCTCATTCTTAAATCGGCAAGAGACAATCCCTGCCGGTTCAGCAGGGACCAACCAAGATTCAAACCATGTATGGGCAGGCTGAATGTACCCAAGTTGATCAATTTGTCAGCTTGGGTACAACCAGCATTTTGGATCTTACATGCAATTATTGCTAGTGGCTTTTATAGCTGCTTGCAGTAATTACAGTGTTCTCCCGGCTGGACAGCTATAAGACATGCTTTATCCACTAAAACTTCAGTTATATCACAGATTAAATAGACCAGGACCTAGTACAGAGCAGGGGCGGACTGACCATTTGGAAACTCGGGCACTGCCCGAGGGCCCGGGGTCAGTAGGGGGACCCATGAGATGCCCCTGGTACCTTTTTCATAGGCTTTTTTGAGTTTGGACAAGGACACAGGGGCCCCATGATCCCCTATTGCCCGGGGGCCCCATGAGTTGTCAGTCCGCCCCTGGTACAGAGCCTTGTGATACAACACTTTTATCTGGTAAGCTTGCATGTCCAATTATTGGTATTTATTTACTATATTTGACTTATCTTTAGACTGCAATGTTTGAATATATTTTTCTGTGGCCTGACAAAAACTCATTACTTGTCTGTATTTGGAAAATATTTTTCCCAGGATTGGCATGTGTGTTCAGGAATAAGTAAGAAATAGAATTGGCGTTAATTGTCACAGACATTAGGTTAGCAGCTTATCTGGGGGTACTATTTACACACGGGGCAAACATAAAATAATTTGATTTTAGAGTCTAAATCCATAGGTTTACTTTACAACATTTTCTTAATGAGAATGGTAACTTGAGTGTTTCACCTGCATGAAGACTATTTTCATAGATTCTCAGAGTTACATTTTCTAGTGAACTCAAAGCTTCCAAATGCAATTTTAGGCAAGTAAAACCATCAACAATCCTCCAAGACTAATACAATTGAGTTTGACTGGAACGTTAAACTCATTTTTCAATCAACTGACTCTTCTGTTTTAAAAGGTGTTTTAATTTTTGAGTGAGATTCTAGTCAGTCAAAATGTTTGGATAAAGACGATGGACAAAGCAGAAATTCATCTGGTGGTCTTGAGAATAGGGATTTGAATACAATGTTGTTGATTTGAATTGGTTATGCAATATGTCCAGACCTCAGAATTCGAGAAGACGTCTTGTGTTTGTTGTCCTATATTTCTCGTCATCTGAATTACCTGGGGTTAGGCACTGATTGTGTCAAGCCAGTGGAGGGATTAAGTCCAATTTGGACACATTTTTTTCCTTCATTTCCTCCTGTTGTGTTGACATTTGTTCACAATGCATCAGGTTACCCATCTGCTGAGCAAGGAAATCCAGCTTCACTTCTTAGCATGTCATCCAGAATAAGTTGATTATATATTATTTGTTTGTGTTCCTGAACATGAGCAGCCAATCTGGAAGGACACCTGAACCTCCTAAACCCAGTTAGATGTCAGATCATTGGCCAGTGTTTTCACCTTACCTCAAAAGGGAACTCCAGACCTCTGTCAGGTTTTTATTTCTGTCTTTGTCCCCGTTGGGGAGGTTTTCACTTTCTATGTGGTCACAGAAAAAAGATGTGTACTAATACACACACAAGAAGTAAGTAAATAATCTCTCTAAAAGACATAATGATCTAATAAGACCCCCTCTTCCCTTCCCAAAAAAAAAATGAATTTGGAAATGTATCCATTTTTCACAGATATAACATTTTCCAATTTTTTCTACAATAGCTGTTTTCCCAGCTCATTCTATAAACCTAAATGCAGTGTCCATAATATTTTTTCCACCCTTTATCCCTCATTTTATTCACCCATTGTCCCTCATTTCTACATCAATTTTGATGTAACAGATTCCCGCTTTACAAATTTTTAAGTGAAACTGTCATAAAATGGGTACTGTTACTTTTTCTACATGCAGAAATTTCCTGGGCTGTTATCATTATTCTCTAGCTTCATTACTTATTGTGTCACTGATCCCAAACAAATTTGGAAGTTCCAACTTAATTGGCTGTGCACTTGTTCTGGGTCATCTCTCTAGAACCCTGGTGGTGTTGAGACATAACAAGGGAGTCCCCCTTTTTCTGTTCAGTACATCTGTAGGACAAATATGGGTGTCTGGGTAAAGACACATTGAATAGATCTCTGCACCTTCTGTAAAACAAAAATTTCTGTCTAAATTTTGAATTGCATGCCATGATGGTGTGCAACACTGAAGATGGTTGGTGGAAATATGACAGTTCCAAGCCTCATTATGTCTGAATTTTTTTCTACATTTTCTGCAATAGAGAGTGCAGAAGGAGCAATACCCTTTATTTGAAGAAAAATTCCAGGCATGGTATATTTTTACATAGTTACATTGCTCCAGCTTGGAGCAATGTAACTATGCAGATGTCATACCTGCCCAATGGACCTGGAAGGTAGAAATCACTGAAGTAGATGCTGCTACTTCAGTCATCTCCATTGCTTCTGTGTCCAATGCTGAACGGTTGACCTGATGCATTCTGAACACAGAAGGTTGGCCACTCAGGGTGGGCGCCATTCAGAGAATGCTTTGCATTCTCTGATTTCTCTTGTGAACACAGTAGGTCAGTCACTCAGGGTGTTGCATTCTCTGACTGGATGAGGTGGAGAGGTAGGGTGGTGATGTCATGTTCTCCACCTCATCCAGTCAGAGAATGCTGTGAATTCATTCAGAAAATGCTTTGCATTCCCTGAATGGTGCCTGTGCTGAGCAGCCAACCTCCGGAGTTCACAACTCATCAGGACAGCCTCTCAGCATGGGACCCAGAAGCAAGTGGAGAGGACTAAAGTGGCGTCTACCTTACTGATTTTCAGCTTTCAGGACATCGGCCACGTCTGGCCAATGCCAATGTAACTGTGTAAAAATATTTCATGACTGCACTTCTTCTTTTTAGGGGACAAAATAGCCACACATAGGGGATCTTACTGCTGGAGATGTTAAGAAACAAAAGAAACTAGGGAGATAGAAATGAGCCGTCTGTTTTCCAGCCACAGATGTACTGACTTTTTCCCCTGTGCTGGTAAGGTTTTTACACCGTCTGAGGTCAGAATCCCACTATTTCATTGTGCCCGCAGTACTACACTATACGTACTACAATGCATTGCATTTCCAAAAAAGGTTTAGGTGTCGATTTGACCAAATCAACCAGCTACCTTAACACATTGCATGTTAACAAGTCGAAATTAATGCATTGCCAAAGCGTGAACATGAAGCAGAATAGGCCCTATGCTGTCTCATCTTGGCATGTATTCTCATTACCTGTTATAAAAATGCAACAAGCTGCAGATTTGACCCTTCTGTCTTTCTTCTTTTTTGATTGTAATCAGAAGAAAGCAAAAGTACCATGCAGGGTATGCCTTTAATCCTTTTTTAGTTCTCTGTAATGACCAGTAAGTAGTCAAGTTGAACTAAAAGAATTGTAGATGTAATGAGAGATGCTCCATTTAAATGATTGATTAAAGAAAGTTAATAACCACAGTGAAATAACCTGCATCTCCTTAGAGTCTTTATTTCTTATATTTAGGGCGGAATACAAATGCTGTGCGGACATGATGGTCATGTGTCTTTTTTTTCAGCCTACCTATGTAACTATGTATAATTAAGGACTGTACTCACGCTACTGATATATAGATGTAATGACATGTTTGTTAATTACCTAATGTGTAGCACTTTGTAACAATTGAATTTACATTTGTATTTTAGCCCTGAAAAAGAAAGGATGTGTTTGGCTATTAACTGGTGGATTGAAAACTGTTCGTGTTGCCCTATAACAACCAATTTGAGAACATCTGTAATTTTTCAATAATCAAAATCAAGAAGATCTGAAGATTCAACAGCATCCTACTCCTATTATTTCTACTGTTTCAAAGTAGAACACAGTTGTCAGCCCTTGAATCCCAAATTGAAACATAAGGCAAAGCTTACACTCATCTGCTGGAAGTACAATGGGTAGTAATGGTGGCATCCAGTCAACAGCTTTCACAGCTATGCATTCAGCAGTAGATACAGTTTTGATATATATAACAATGAAAGCCCTTCTTTACTTACAGCGTTCTTTGGAATTATATTTTGTGCACACAACATGGTAGTCACTGTGCTGAGTCTAATTTTGAGTAATCTGGCATACTTCTATTTTATTGAGAGAATATATTTTTATAACAAACAGAAAATTGATGTTGCGCTAATCACAATAATGCCACAGACATTCCAAAAAACAAATAATGAGATGAGAAGACAATAAATAATACACCATAACATAATCAGTAAATGGAAGGAATATGGGAATGAAGGGAAAGGTGAAATAATAAAGGTCCAAAATGAGGACCAAAAGGTGTAACAGACAATAAACCGTGACCGTGAGCAAAACGCACAGAAATGATCAGGGAAAAATAAAATATTAACTAAATCACAGTAATAATGGGACATATAAGTCCGTCATAACATAAATGAAATAACGTGAATACAACTAAAGAGAAAGTCGATCAAAATGTGAAAAATACAAAATGAAGTGCTAAAATATTAAAAGTGGACAAACCACTTATCACAGAAGAATGACAATAACAACGCACAGTGAGGCCAAAAAAAGTGACCATGCGACTAAAGGCTCATAACACAATGTGCATCAAAAGGCCATGTGACATAAAATGACTAATAAGTGACCATATAAATACAATAAATAAATGTGGCAAACATATAGAGTGCAACTAATACAAAACAGAAAATGGTGATACAAATGAATGTATTACTGTGCAATGTAAAATACAATAACACATTAAAGAAATAAATAACATGTGACTAAAAAAAATAGCATAAATGTGACATAAAGTCCATGTGCAAAACATCCAACAAAAACGCATTAAAAAAAAAACGTGGATAAGTAAATGATTAGTGAATCCCACACCGGCTAAAATGCCTCCTCACGTCCGCGCCCGGACCCCAAGGGGCCAAAAGGCTTTCAGGACACTCACTGCAGGGGCCCTTTAAGTGGAATCCCAAACGGTGATGTAGGGATGATATTTCACCTTTCCCTTCACTCCCATATTCCTTCCATTTACTGATTATGTTATGGTGTATTATCTATTGTCTTCTCATCTCATTATTTGTCTTGGAATGTCTGTGGCATTATTGTGATCAGCACAACATCAATTTTTTGTGTGTTGTTTTTTGCTAGTGGTATAGCCAGGTGTGCACTGCTGTCCCATCTTTCCTAGTAGTGACGCAAAAGGTTTTTTACATATTTTTTAATATATTTTTATAAATATCATTGATACAAATTGTATAACTGTGTTATTAGGATGCATTCACACCTGAGCAGAGTGATTTTCAGTTTTTATTTGAGGTTTTTTTTGCACTTTTTTGAGGTGTTTGTAAAACCATTTTACAGGCATTTCCAATGTGTATTCAAGCTTCAGGCTTTTTGTTTTAGCTAATGGAAATCACTAGGAGGGGATCAGTTAATGTAGGCTAAAAATGCCGGAAAAAAATGCCTGGAAAAAAAAGACCAAATCAAGCATTTTCAGGCAATCCCAATAAACTCTATGGTGTCAAAAATGCTCAAATCTGCCTGAAAAGAAACTCATGTACTTATTGGAGTGAAAGGTGTTAATCTACAAGCAATAGAAAGCTCAGATGTAAACAAGAGCTCTTGAATACAATGGGGGAGATTTACTAAAAGAGCACTCAGAACCTGGTGCAGCTGTGCGTGGTAGCCAATCAGCTTCTAACTTCAGCTTGTTCAATTAAGCTTTGATAATAAAACCTGGAAGTTGATTGGTTTCTATGCAGAGCTGCACCAGATTTTTCACTCTCCAGTTTTAGTAAATCCCACCTGTTTTTTTTTCGCTTGTTGAGTGTTTTTGAGCTTTGAGCTACAAGCTACAAAACTTTCAGGTGTGAATGGGCCCAGAGGGTAATTCTAAAATTATTTGCACTCTAGGCACATTTTTAGAGGTTTTTTTTTACTAATACTGGAATGTGCAAAATCTGGTGCAAGTTTGCACAGAAACCAGTCAACTTACAAGTTTTTTTGTCGAAGCTTAATTGAACAAGCTGAGGTTAGAAGCTAATTGGCTACCATGCACGACTACACTAGATTCTGAGTGCTCTGGGTTTAATAAATCTACCCCTTTGCCTTTGCTAAGTGCATCATGAGACTGACCTATGATGGCTATCTTCACACAAAAGATTATATTTGGGGTCCCCACACCTACTGTTGGTTGTCACTGTATAGCTACAAGAAAATACAGTTTATTTTTTATTGTTTCTTGATCCTTGAAACAGTATATCACTGTGCCACTCATTAAATCAAGAGGCACAACAAGTGATAAGCAAGTACAGGGGTTAGACAAAAAAAATGGAAACACTACATGATTTGCAGGTGTGAAAGTGACAAGTTTCATGCTGAAAGCAGACATGATGTAACATTCTTTTGCTTCTGCTGTGTGATGAGACACCTAGGTAACAGGTGGGAAGTCTCATTTTCGTCCTTCACTGTGTGTGCTGCTAATAAATCAGAGTCATGTCAGAGCTTACTGAGCCTCAAAGAGGGCAGATTGTCGGTGCTCGCTTATCTGTGACTGAAGTTGCCAATTTATTTGCGGTGTCACAAGGTACAGTGTCAAGTGTTATACTGGCATATACAGTTTCCATGAAAACGTTGTCTAATAAGCATAAGCGTGGTCAACATAGTCAACTGACCGAAAGAGTTAAAAGGACATAGGGAAGGATTGTGACCCAGAATAAGAAAACAACTGCTGGAAAAGTGACTGTGGAGCTCAATCTCAGTCATGTGAAGACTGAGATTGAGTTCTGCAGTCATTTTTGCAGCAATTGTTTTCTTACTCCAGGTCACATTCCTGCGCAATATTCTTTTGTTTATTTTTGTCAGTTGACCATGTTGACCGCATGTATGCTGATTAGATGTCGTTTTCCGTGAAACTGTATCTGCCAGTATAACCTTTGATTTTGTACCTCGTGACACAGCAAATAAATTGGTAACTTCAGTCACAGATAAGCGAGCACCGACAATCTGCCCTCTTTGAAGCTCAGTAAGCTCTGACATGACTCCATATCACTAGCAGCGCATGCAATGAATGACAAGTAAAGCTTCCCACCGGTTAGCTAGGTGTCTCATCACACAGCGGAAGCAAAAGAATGTTATATCACTTCCACATTCTACGCAAAACATGTCTTCACTTTCATACCTGCAAATCATGTAGTGTTTCCAAATTTTGTCTAACGCCTGTATAGCTGCCCCCATGTCCACTAAGGTGTATGTATAGCAAAAATAATTTTTCTTTTGTATAGAATAGAGAATAGTAAAATAAAAAAATATTTTCTATGTCCAAAAAAATAATGTTTTGTATGTGTATATATATATTTTTTTTTTTTCTTTTCTTTTGTCCAATAATTAAACACTATAAAATTAAAACAAGGTTTTCAAAACATTGTGTGTTGAATATGATTTTTATTAAGCTGCTCGTATGAAATGGTTTGGGATTTTTTTTTAAGTGTACAAATCTTTAAACTGATGTTTTCTATCAATATACAATATTTGACTGCAAATGTTTGATACAAGATTATCCTTGTCTGCACACTTGCTTGTAGTTTGTGCACAACTGACTACAAGCAGACAGAACAATTTATGATAAGAAAAGGCAGAGGTGAGTCCTTCAGCAGACTGTGTAATCTGATCTCTACCAGTTGAACAATTTTCTGAGATAGCTAGTGCTTTGGAGCTTTCCACCTGCAAATATTTATTTGTATTGATATGTATTTACCTGATTGTAAATGATTAAAATGTATATTTTTTTGGCGGTAAATATAGTACATAAAAGTATACAGACAAGAGAAAAACCAGGCTTAAAGAAGAATAGAATTCTTTAAACTGTAATCGAGTAGCAAAAAATAAAAACTTAACTAAGTGTATTTACTGTATCCCAGTAAAGTTTTATAGCAGGCTTTTAAATGATTTCTAGTGAGTAAATTTAGGCAGACAGAATTAATTATTTTGCTGACAAATTTATTCAGTGTTTAGAACCGTTTTGATCATTAAAGAGTAAATAAATAAGAGGACACTTTCACAGACACAGAATCCACAGCATTCAGCTTACCGGGACGATTTACATACTGAATTCTTATACCACCAATAAACCAAACAGATGTTATTTGCCAAATAGCTCAACATTAAACAACATAACTGAACTATTAAAAAATTATAGATATTATAACATGTTTATTATTTTTAAAAAAATCATGATTTGTAGTTAAAAGTTCTGCAGGTATGTTATTTTATTTTTGGCAACAGAATTAAGTGCAATTTTCAAACACATCTGCATCTGGGACATAATCATACTTTACACTGCATGTCTATAGGAATTCAAATATTCCTCAAATGATAACATGTTTTCATCGCCAGGATAACAGGGCAGAGAAGATGGGAGATATAACAATTCTCATACACTCACTTTAAGACGAAAAGTGTTTGTTTTTTTTTAAATGGACTTTTTCCATTGAAAAAGAAAAAAAAGCACCCTCCATTGGCAAGGTCTGCAAGTTAGTCTATTTGCGTTTTTTCTTGTAACACATTTAATTGAGAGAGAGTTTAGATTTTGCTAGCTATGCAGGTAAAGGCTGATTGTTTAGAAATGAACTACGACTGTTTAGCAACAGAATAAATGACTAATCCAGCTCTTTGCACGGTTTTATTCTAGCAGGTAGTCTAAGCTCCATCACAAACCCTACCGTGTTTTTAGACTCAATTGGTGATAGACAAATCTTCCAGAAAGCTGGAGATTAAACCAATTTGCTCAGATTCCTACTGAAGAGTAAGAGGTATTTGTTAATGATAGCTGAAAAGTCAATCTACTTCCAAATTTGGATATGTGGAAAATTCAAATGTGTTTTACCCTTTTAAGGTTTTCTACATTTTTTCTATCAGACATACAGTAGAAGAATGATGCTATGTGCAGAGGGACTGTAAATCCCTCTTCTCCCTATTATTTTAAGTTTTGTAAATGTTGACGATGAAGAAAACACAAAGGTATCTCATTAGAATGCAGAAGATGATGAAGATGTTATCATACAACACAAGGCTAAAGATGCAGAGGAAAGTCACTGAGATCCATGGTACAAAGTCTTTTATCTTTCGATTAGTATACGTTATGATAACGTAAAGCAGACACATCTGCTACAGTCAAGAAGAGCTTAATCACATTAGTCCCTTTTGATAATGTCTAGTGCCATCCAACGTCTGTTAAACATGGTTCACATCTGAGATGTCACATTTCCCATAGAACCATTTTGATTGCATGATGCCATAAGTCCAACTTTTTTTCCAAAACTTCATATCCAGCCTTCATTTGTCATTGGAAGATGATTTGAAGTTTCATGTCAAAATTGGCCATGGTCAACTTCATCTAACCAAGAAGCCGGACTGGCAGGGAAATCCGGGTATCCACCACTGCTGCCAGTGGAAAGATCAGAATTGGGTCCATTTGCCCCTAAAACCCTCATGGATGGAGGCACCCCTTGCCCGCTTTGAGCCATGATACCTAAACCTGTGTCAGGAAATGCTAAGCTTGACATCAGTGGCTGATGGCCTGACATAGCCTGTAGTGAGGCCGGGGACTGTGGGATTCCATAGGGGCTGTTGGATCTCAGGTCATGGTACTGGTCTGATGCTGGAATACCACCATGTTCCAGGGAGAAGGCACCGTTGCTTCCAGCCTGTCTGCCCAAAACTGGAGAAGCCTCATTGAGACTGTTGTAAATCCCATTGGAGTGGTTCATTTCCGATAAAGCAGGCTCATCTGCAATAAGAACATTATACAAATGATTAAATTAATGTTTTACATTTGTTTTAATTTACTGGATAGGTCAAAATATGTTAAAAATACATCTTGACATAGAGAGTTCCCATGACAGCCTACAAGGAAAGCTGAAGATCAGAAATCTCATTTTCTTGCAAGATTTTGGGATCATTTGAAAACCAGTACATGTATTAATAAATACAGATAGTGTACACAAATCTTTTTATTTTAGCATCCAGTAATCCCCTGTATAGTAGGCTTTAGACTCAGTGAGGGAGCTACATTGTGACCTATCAATACTATGATTGCACAGTCTGACAAGGATGTCTAGAGCACAAAACAGGATTACCAGTCTTTGGGCACATAAAATAAATCTCATATTTGTATTTCTATGGTGTAGCCTAGTGTTCAGCTTTTAAGGAGCAATGTTTAGATTTTTATCATCAGCAACATAATATGATTGCAGAAAGAGTAAACAGCTTTTGAAGGGAAGGACATCTCTACATTTTCCTCTTTAAATTTGTTTTCCAACTATACCTGTAAAAGAGACCTCAGCATCACTGTCGGGACCATCCTCCTGGATACTGTCCTTGTCAGATTTGGAGTTACCCCTTGATCGTTTCATATTTCTGAAGTATTGCCCCCATCTTTGTCTTCCGGCGTCCTTTTTTAATCTTTTCTCCTTTGCTCTTCTGTTCTGGAACCACACCTGGAAATACAATAACGCATTAGTTGACTTATATTATTACATTTAAGTGGGACTAGGGGAAGGTGTACATTGAGGACAAATAGCTTCTGATATCTGACCAAAGCCAGCCTATTTTTTAAAATTACTTCTCTCTGCAGTGCCCCCCCAAACTAAGAGCTTTTTAAAACCTTGTAGAACATTTTCATAAGTCACGCAGATGCTGATAAATATTGTAAATCTATTCAATGATGTAATCCTTCAAAAGCTTTAACACCCATACTTCCTTCCTTAATCAGCCTTGTAGGGTGTAGGTATACCTGGTTGATATATACACTAAATGGGATCAAGTAAGTTTATCTCTCATAATTAACTTGTTATATACTGTTCATTGCTCTTAGTATATATAACAGTGGGTACCTGCACCACCCTCATATCCAGCCCCGTCTCTGATGACAGCTGTTCTCTGACATGTCTAGCTGGCTTCGGAGAATTGTTATAGGCATTTTTCAGTGTCTCCAGCTGCTTGGCAGTGATGGTTGTCCTTGGCCTTTTGGCTGTGGATTCGGCTTCTGCATGAGTGAAAGAAATGTGCAATAATCAGCCATCAACATAAAAACATAATATATTTTTACGCTTTGTGTGCATATTTACTTTACAAGGTAAAACAATCTGTTTTTAAATAACAGTGAAATGTTAATCCATAGTATCATTCATCTGTACAAAATTATGATTTGAATTAGTGGTTGTATGTTTGAATATCATAGGATAGCTCGCTAAAACTGGTACTATAGTTTTATTAGATAGGTGGAAGGATCAGTGATATGCCTACACCTAACACTTTATATATTGCAGAAACCTAAGCAATGAGATCTCCTCAACAGAATTTCTAGTTCCCTGACATGGTTGATCTGGGATACACATTGGGAGGGGGGGGGGGGGGTTGTTTATTTATTCATTCATTTGTTTATTTCGTAATAGAGTAATTTTTTATGGTGTGGGTATTTTAAGTTACAATTCACTTTTTTTTTTTTGTGAGCAAGTAACAAGGGGCATTAAGTACTCTGTACTTATGCACCTAGGTGAGTAGCCAGATATCTGGAGCCCCCATTATTCTAGATTCTGATTAATCTCCCCGCAGAGTCCAACATTTCTTTTGTGTGACAGGAAGTAGGCATGGGAACCTAAACATTGAAGACAAGGTACCTTGCAAGGGAAGGGGAGGGTTTACAAACAGAAGCCGGTGGGGATCTATCATTTAGCGGCTGTAGTGCTAAAACCGCTAGATGACAGATAGACTGGTTTGTTTACCAACAGGCAACGCTCTGTCATTTAGCAGAAAGATCTCTGGCTGCTGTTTGTAAACAAACAGTATCACTGTAACCACTTGCCCTCCAGAGGATTTACCCCCTTCCTGACCAGGCCATTTTTGACAATTGCACGGTCATGCAATGCTGCACCCAAATGAAATTCACGTCCTTTTTTTTCCCACGAATTGAGCTTTCTTTCGGTGGTATTTGATCGCCTGTGTGTTTTTATTTTTTGCGCTATGAAAAAAAAGACCGACAATTTTGAGAAAAAAAACAATATTTTTGAAGGTTTTAAAAAAAAACAATATTTCTGACTGTTGTGAAAGTTATAGCGTTTACAAATGGTGGCATATATACTTGGATTTTTGCTAGTAATGGCGGCGCTCAGTGACTTTTAGCTGGGCTGTGGGACTGCAGTGGGCATTCTGACACGGGGGGGAACTGACTTGGTGTCACTGACATCCCCAGTGACACCAATACAGTGATCAGTGCTAATAAAAATCACTGATACTGTACTAATGGCACTGGGCAGGAAGGGGTTAACATCTGGGGCGATCAAAGGGTTAAGTGTGTGCTGGTTGTGTTTTACTATGGGGCTGTGTCTGTGTGCTTCACTGTAAGTACACTGCTTTGCATGGCTGTGCTTTGCACAGCCATGCAAAGCAGTGTGCATGAGCTGACAGGGAGGAGAACTGTTTTGTTTACTAACAGTTCTCCCTCACCAAGTAATCACCAGCCGGAACCCGGTGATTGACAGCCGTGAAGAGTTGTGCGGGGATTCCAGAAAGTCCAGTTCACATTATCTTCAAAGCTACTTCTCTGTTTGGACACTTAAGTTTTACTTTTGTATTTTTTTTTTATGGTAAATTGGTCAAAGTGATTAGCGTGTTTGTCTGGGCAAAATTAAAATAATCTTATTCCGTACATTTCTGCAATATACGCACATTTCCCCAAAGTTTTATGCCTTCAATTCACACTGACTTGTGCTAAAATGTATAGAAAATGAATGTACATTTCTATCCATTTTAGTTGCGCACTGACATCCATTGAAATACATTTTGGCATCCGTTGACACACATTTTTGATGCCCATTGACATGCAATTTAATGTATGTTAAAACGTGCTGCATTTTTACAGGATATCCTGTGCATTGTGTTCACATCCGTTTACATCTGTCTGCATCCACTTACATCCGATGTGTTGCGCTAAAATGCATACATGTTAGATTTTAGCGCAACGCAGATCAACGCAGCATTATAGTGTGAATAGGACACATTGGAAATTATTGTTTTTCAGATGTTCTTCTGTTGATCTGCGTTTTACAGCTGCTCTAAAACACAGATCAATGCCTTGCTGTGAATTGTCCCTAGTTCTGCAACTACAGAAAAATATTTGTTGATCCTACAAAAATCCAATGAGCTCCTAACTTCCTGCAGTGAGCTGACAACACTAACTCTGCTGCACTAAGATCCCAAGCAGGGTAGCCAGCCCTGCCCAGTTCTCCCTTTGGACTATAGAACACCTCCCAATTATATTATGAAGATGAGGAAAGGAGTAGAGTTGTTAGCTTACAACAGGAGGTTAGGAGCTATACTGAATGCATTTTTTGTAAGTTTTGTCCAAGCATACGCTTTACATTTAAGCCAAATACATTTTTCTAGTTTTGAATAGAGCAGAAAAAGGTTAGTACCCCTGTCAGGTTTATACTGTTATCCAAGGCTCCATTAGAGAGATTTCCCTCACTTCCTGTCCTGCTGACAGTGGTTTCACCAGACAGGAAATGAAGGGAAATCTGTAACAAGGACAAAGACAAAAAGGGAAAGGTTGACAGGGGATTTAGCCTTCCTTTTCTCTACTAAAGACATTCTGTCTGTGTTGCAGTTATGTTCACCTAATTTTCTGTCTGGTAAAAAGTTGTCGACAGGAAGTAAGGTGAAATCTCTCTAATGGATCCCCAGATAGCAGTAAACACCTGATAGGGGTTCTAATTCTTTACAGCTCCTTTGCCAAAACTGCAAAAAAATATCTTTGGCTGATTATAAATTTTAATACTTTTTGGGCAAATTCACACTGTGGCATTTCGACATATAACCTGCTACAACAGATGATAATATTTCATTTCATTCAAACTTAAAAACAAAATGAATTAAAATTTATTTTGAAAAAGTAGTGAATTACAACACACTAGATCTATATATATATATATATATATACAGTATATATATATATATTTCAGCCATTCTCTAATGTTAAGACTGTGCAGTTCCCACTAGTCACCAGAAATGTTAGTATTTCCTACAGAAAACAATAGATACAAAAAGAGCCTTTTACAGGCATAATGATACTATAATTACACCACCATTTAAAAGGCTGATTATCTTACTGCTCTGCCATACAATATTAGGTTTGATAAGTGGAATAAACAAATAGAACTAAGATTTAAATACACCCATGGCCACCCATGTACACCAGGACCACAGCGCTGAACAAACAGAAACATTATGGAAGTTGAGTATATTCATGCCACTTTTGAAAATATCAGAGCACTTGCTGTGCTGCATACACAAATAAAGAATTTGTAAAAAAATATATATATATATCAGAGCACTTGCTGTGCTGCATACACAAATATAGAATTTAAAAAAAAAAAAAAAATGTCGGAGCAAAATGTGTCCTTTTTTAGTTATGTCCAGGTAGCTGAAAATACTGAGGTATGGGGGAGATCTAAATATATAGATTAAAGGGAAGGTCATGTACCCCTCTGCTTTGCTGTTTCGTAGTCCGCCTTGCACACCAGCCGACTATCCTCCATAAGGTAAAATTCATCTCCTGTTGCCAGCTGCCTTTTGCAGATGATGCAGGAAAAGCAGTGTAGATGGTACACAAACTCCTGAGCTCGTCTCACCACCTGAGTGGGGGGGATTCCTTGTTGGCAGGCCGCACATTTTGTCCCAAACCTCCTACAAGTAAAAAAAAAAAATTTTTTTTGTGAAAACAAACTTTGTTTTTTGGGTTTCCTGTTCCTTCCACAATACCCATAATCTGTGTTAGGACCTGTGCATAGCCAATTCTTCTCATGAGCATGTCATCATGATTGGGAAGGTTTAATCCAGTGCTAAAAGTTGATGCAATAATAGTCTCACGCTATTTGGCAGTGTTCCCATGGTTCTAGTGTGCTTTCTGAAAATGCACCAAAACTATGGGACATAATGGAAGTTTAGGGCAAAGCACAGCTAACCCCCACCTACACCCGCACTGCGGACAAAGTGCAGCAAAGTGGGCCAAAATCAGGTTTTATTGCTGCCTTTGCCCCCCCTGACTATTATCAAAAGTGGAAATAAAAGAAAATCCAAAATTTTGGGTTGTCATCAGAACTGTAAGAGAAAGCAAATCTTCTAATGGGGACAAATCTTCTAATGGGGGGTTCTGGTTACTGCAGTGACACACCAGGATTCCCTCACTTTGGAGGGATTTCCTCTCACTTCCTCTATTGACTATGGGAAAGGAAGTGATGGGAAATCTCCCCTGTGGAACAAAAAAACTGACAGGGGTTCTTTAGTTATATAGGAATGCTTTTCCTGCAAACTGGAGAATAGCAGCCTATGAACAATAGAAAAGGTGTCTTCATTCATTGACCAATATATTGCATCAGAAATATCTCACTGATCACCATCTTATCTCTCATACACAAAGAATTAAACCTGAATTTCTTGCCTTTCAAAGGCTTGTATTGAATGATGGAACACATCTTAAAGTGGAAGTTCATCCTAAAATTATTCTGTGAACATAAACAGTCATGTAACGCACGTACATTGATAAATGCATAGCACCATGTTTGAATTCTGTGCCTGTTATCCAGCAATCAGCATTGGAAACTGCCAACCTTGTACCATGACACATGCAGTCCTACTTTGCTTATGCCTATGCTATCTATGCCTTGTGATCGCAAACTTAGGTGTCCTTTTATGACACAGAGAATAGCTGCGATTCAACAGATCTCAGCTATTCTCTGGTCATTCACAGTGTATAACACTTAGGAGATCCTGTCAGCCCTTCTCTGGAGATCTGTGTTCTCCGTCCAGATTCTCCAGCCCAGAGCTGGAGAATCAGAGGGACCGAAGACTAAGCAGAGATAATTTACCTCTGCTTAGTAAACTGGTCTTTTACTATAATCTGGAGAGATTATAGTAAAATGAGCCGTTTTTCAGAGTTTGTAGACCGTTATCCAGCGTTTGGAAGCCGTTCTCCCTTCGTTCGGAGAACTGCTTCATAAACTGCATTCACAGGAGAACTTTGTTCTCCGAGAATGCCGGAGAACTGAGCAGCGATCTATTACCTCTGGTTCACAAACGGACACCTTAACTGGCAAACGCTTCTTCTGTGTTCGAGGTGCAAGGAGAGCAGAGTGACACCATGATTTGTATGGTTTCACTTGTAAATGATGGACAGTTTCCAATGCTGATTGCTGGACAACTGGAGCATGGACAAAATTCAAACTTGGTGCTATGCATTTATCAAGGTATGTGTGTTGTATGATCTAACATTGAGTAATTCTAGGGTGTACTTCCAATTTAAGGCAACAAATTAGTACTTTATTGTCTATTTTTCTAATGCTTCATGTGTTTGTTAATAAATACATTTAAAAGAATTACAGCTTGGGCACTTATGCATTTATTGAAAGAGCATTTTGATAAAAACAGTTTGCTATTAACAAGATGGTTAAACACTGAATGGAAAGATACATGATCATTATTCTTCTACAATACTTCTATAATATAATACACTTACTTGAAGAAATCATCTTTGCAGTAGACGCTTTCACCCCGGCTGAAGCATTTTTCAGCGAGCTGGATCTGGCAGTCATTGCATTTCAGGCACTTGCTGTGCCAGTGGCGGTCCAGCACCTTCAGGATGAATCGGTCTACGATGTGCTGGTTGCAGCCAGCGCACAAAGGGATTTCTGAAACACAAAAATACAGCTAATTAGTTTAGTCCATCTTTACATATTCCACGTAAACAGCAGAGAATTAGAGCAGGAACACATGGTCTAGAAAACACAGAGAAGACAATATTGCTTCTGGAGAGAAAAGGCGATAACTATTATAAAACCCTTTTAGGGCCATGCATGATTCTGGCAAATTGCCTTTGTTTTTATAGATTTATAGTTTTACCCAAATTACCACAAATGGAGGGGGAACTATGACAACTGATAGGTGGCCTAAGGCAAGACTGGAGTGCGGCCTTTTTTTGGGGCACACTATTAAAGACTTTGTACAAATTGGGATAAGATCTCAAATAAAACTGCCCAACATACAATTATACTGAATCCTGTAAAATTAACATTTCATGGGTCATACCTTTTGAAATCAGAAGTTATTCACATATATCTATTTCCTTCAAAATCTAAAAGGAGGAGGAAGTATTGCTGATTTCAGGAGTTCTGGGTGAAGACATGCAAGTAACGGTCCCTGAGGCAATACAGAACTTCAGGTTTATAGCCCAGATACAACTGAAATACCAAGGAATACATCCAACCAGGGGCGGACTGACCATTTGGAAACTTGGGCACTGCCCGAGGACCCAGGGTCAGTAGGGGGCCCCATGAGATGCCCCTAGTACCTTTTTCATAGGCTTTTTTGAGTTTGGGCAAGGACACAGGGGCCCCATAATCCCCTATTGCCCAGGGGCCCCATGGGTTGTCAGTCCGCCCCTGCATCCAACTCGCCTATATATGATTTGAACTTAATAAAGCTTATGAATACAAGGTATCCCAAACTTGTAACCCAACACTGAACTCTTCCCATCATTTCAGTTGGCAGAAATGTTCAGCCAGTTAATGTGGTTGCTACATATCTATATAAGCCATACACTCTACACAGCCAGTCCCATCGTATAGAAAATGTATCTCCATCCCCATTAATCAGACAAAGGATATTCCAGTCACTTCTACAGAGACCACATTCCATGTCAAGTTGCTCTTCACTTATTAGAAGCTAAGATGCTAAGATTTGGGCTAGACCTCCCTTTTCTTCCAAGCCCAGTCAGGTAGAGAAAATGCTTTTTCATGAGATAGATAGATAGATAGATAGATAGATAGATAGATAGATAGATAGATAGATAGATAGATACATAGATACATAGATAGATGCATAGATACATACATACATAGATACATAGATAGAAGATCGATAAATAGATAGATAGATACTTTATCACTGTACCTGTTGATCTTTTTTGATTGATAGATAGATAGATAGATAGATAGATAGATAGATAGATAGATAGATAGATAGATAGATCTGTGCATATTGCTCTTTATTTCAGATAGATATAGATTTGAATAAAATTAGATATAATTAGGAAATAATGTAGATAGATAGATAATAATAATTTATATATATATATATATATATATATATATATATATATATATATATATATAGATTATCTCTGTATCTTTTGATCTTATATAAGATAAATAGATAGATAGATAGATAGATAGATAGATAGATAGATAGATAGACAGATAGATTCTATATCTGTATCTATTATTTTTTTCATAGATAGAAATATGGAATTATTCTCTATCTTTAATAGATAAAAAAATCTGCATCTATTTCTGATACATAGACCATAAATATGTGAAAAGACAGTCCTTTTTCATTGCCACCACAAATAAATGTAGTTTGTCTATCTGGAAAGAAGGCACCTGTATACTATTTATTAGGATTGTATTTCCCTTTTCACATATACTTAATACACTGCCTCTGGATGTGTATCTGTAGGTGTGTACAGGTACACTGAATTGTCTCTCTATTGTCTGTCTGTACACAGCCAGGCATCCAGGCAGGTGAAGGGGGGCAGTTGGGTTTTTGCTGTTTAGTATGCAGAACAGGTGGGTATTTGTGTGTTTAATTATTTATTGGACCGTATGCTGTCACAGAGTCTCATATTGATGGAGTGACTCCTGTCTTTTGTCTGGCTGATGTATGATGAAATTTTAATGCTGTCATTAAAAAGAACTGGCATTTCTTTTTCCTCCATTTTAAAAATTATCAAAAAAATTTTAAAAAATATGCGATACTCAACCTTTTCCACCACAAAAAAGTAAATTTTTATGAGTTAAACATTCTTCAACCCCTAAAAAATACATATTTTTTTCAAATATGCTTTTTTTTCTAATTGATTTCTGTCACAAATTTTAACTTTTATATCAATAGAACACATTTAATTTTACATTAATGCTAATATTCATCCACTTCATTTAACATGTAATAATACAATGATTGCAATTTAATTTTAATTATTATTTTTTGTTAATCTTACATTGAACAAATAACAGCCAGATCATTTCTGAATCAAACTGGGTTCCCATTTCTTGATATATTTGATTATTAGAATATTATTTAATTATTTCAGTAAGTAATCATAGTAAGGCTATTGCTCTATCTGTCCTCATCCCAATCACTAAATTGCTATGATCATTTTTCTTTGTTTTATTTATTTATTGAGAATAATCTACAACATTATTTGGTTTATAAAATATGTAACTATTTTATTAAATATAATACTGTAATATTACATTATATAAGGGTTGGTATTGCTATAATCCATATATTATCGCTAACAGTAAGTATGATTAAAAAAACTTTCACAAGTTTAGATCACTAGCTTATCATTCTATTTATTCCTCTGTTCTCATAAAATATTGATATCTATGCTTACAATTATTCCTTTTTACATTAAATAAAAACAAGTAATTTCATTTAATTCTTTGCATTACTTATAGGTATTAATTCTTATAAAATGATTCATTTCTACATAAACTGAAAACAAAATTATGCATGTTTTTAATACATATTAAAAAAAATTATAAAAATGTATTCTTAAAGGAGAACAATAAACTGAAGTTATTTATTTAACTATTTCCCAACAAATTTAACATAAAGAATTGAAACATTGTGAACCTATGGACCTATTAACTACACAAAATTTTGTGAATTTGAATCTAAAATATTAGTTGAACATATTGCTGTTTAGATAATGTTTTATAATGCATTGATATTACAGTGACATTGATTTCAGAAAAAAAAGATCAGATTTATTTTAAAATCTTTAAGTCTTCTCTAGCTTTAGCAAAAAAGATAAATTTACTTGTTTAAGATATGTACAGTATTGACATATCTATAGATCTGAAAATCCTAAAGTTATAAATGAACATAATTGTATGTAATTTGTTATTGCGTGATTATTGTATATGGCATATTATTATTATTATATTTTTTTTAGTGGCAACAGTAATATTTGGACTGATGTATGCATTTGTATCATATCTATTTTTAAATTAGTAAATATATGGTAAATACCTCCAAATTTGTAAATACATGTACTTGAAATTTGAAGCCTATTATCTGCACTAAAAATATGAATGTAATACTTGTACAACGAATTATATATATACATATATATATATATATATATATATATATATATATATATATAATATATATATATATAGGGATGTTCTGAAATTGTATAAGGCAGTAGCACTTCCATTCATCGGATGGCTCTAAATAATTACAATGTAACATTTTCTAGAGATATCGGTGATATGATGTCTGCAATGTGCAATAGGAAAGAAAAGGTGGATGCGGATGAAATGAGGATTATAATAAAACTAGAGACTGAGAGCTGTGAAAGAAATGTTAGCGATGGTTATAATAACGGGTGTTGTGCTCTAGGACAGTGATGATTAGACTGATGCAGTCTATATTATTTAAAAAAAACTATTATTTATTTTTTATTATTATTATTATTATTAATATTATTTATTAGTATAAAATCAAATAGTGTACACGCTTTGGATATAAGAATGAAAATGCTGGTATTCAGCATGAAAGTTTTCTAGAAAATGATTATGCTGACTATTATATATAATACTGTACAATGAAGAAGAGGTGATTTAATGATTCCATGGTTTAGGGGATTCTTAAAGAATAGAATAATACATTAGATTGTGTAGCAAGTTGTAGTGTGCAGTACTGAGCAAACTTTATTTCAATTAATATACTGTATCTGTATTGAAGAAAGTATACAATCCCGGGGGGTTAATATATATATATATATAATATATATATATATATATATATATATATATATATATATATATATATGTATATATATGTATATATATATATATATATATATATATATATATATATTACTGGTACGTGCATGACAATGATCAAAATAGCTTCGTGCTTATACTGGACAGAGCTGTCTATATAATAGTACAAAGAATGAGAGAGGTATGATACATAGATACTATGTAGTGATGGTTATTTGGAAGTACAATATATTATATATAGTTAATTATTAGTTATTATAGTTATTTTGGTTAAATACTGCCAGGGATGATGATAATAACATTGAATAGCAATATATAATATATAATTCATATAATAGTGATCTGTAGGGATGCTTACAATGAAGACCCCAGCATCTGCTCTAAGGAAGAGCACTGTTAGCACTGATACACGACATTGTAATAGTGGAGGTAGGTAGCCGGGAGGAGCACTTACCTTTCCTTAGCTCGTCATTGTGAGCCAGCAGAGCCAGTAACATGTCAGTGCTGGGGGCTGAAGGCTCCTTGCTGCCTGTCAGATCTTTTATAGCCTGATCCATGGCTCATCCCTTCCCCAATACTGCTGTCCCCCCTTCCTCCACGGTACCCCAACCCAGGAGAGACCCCCACAGCGCCCCAGGGTCTCCAAATGCTGCTGCTCCACCTCAAGCTAGAGGGAGAGTGGAGCCCGGCGAGCTCTGCGGGGTGCTGTGCGCTGATCGGACATTAGGGGGAGCTGCGGAGCTGTGTGGGACCAGCTGAACATCTATCTATCTACAGTAGAGATACCTGAGAATAACTGACGGCTGGAGCCCATCCGGGGAATTCACTGACCCA